ATGTTTTAGGGAAAGGTATGTGAACATTATCATACACTAAGAAGAAAAAAACATTTTAGAGGAAGAGATACAAGAAAAGGAAGGTTATTGATGAAGGAGTCAGGAAAAAGTGATAGGGAAATGAATCTTAAAAAGCTTAAAAGGGCACTTTACTGCTCTCTTTAAATAGATATATTTTGGTAAGATCAGACATCAATCTGTTGTTCTGTTTTTTTATGGGCACCAGGCCGTTAGCAACTTCCTTCCATATGGAGGACAGTTTCCCTTTGTTCTGTGACAGAAACCTGAACTCTTGACCTAGGGCCAGACTTGTCAGTGAAGTGCTGAGTGAAGCTGTGCATTTCAGACAGATGTCTCTGCTACATGTTCACAGAGTACTTGGTGACATCACCACAATATCAGTTTAAAACACTTAACTTTTTTTTATCAGTTAAGCCAAAGATTATCTGAATTTTTGACTCATGGTAACTATACTCCAAGTTATGATTCATAAATGAAATGTCATGCTCTAAATTATTAGCTTTGTATCTTTCCTGAAAGTATGGACCAATTTGCTGCTCATAAACAAGCTTCCTCCCAAGTAGTTGGCTTTCTTCAGGAAATAATTTTATAAACCCAGAAAGACCTTGGTGTATGCAGAATTAGAACAAAGTTATTTTTATCAATCTTCACAAATTCAATAAGTTGTCCTCTATCTTGTAAAAATATTTCTAATGAAAGAACACTGGAACAATCACTCTACAAATAAGGAAGCCTATTTCCATGGAAAACACTGTTATATATGACCAGTTATTATTTTGTATGTCTTGCTTTCCCAAAGTCTTATTTGAGCCATAGACCTTTGTGTGTCATTAAATTAATATTTCTATGCGTTGCTATAATTATTTATAGCAATGAAAGAGGCACCCTGATTTACATGTGGAACGAATGATTGTTTTTAATTAAAGAGAGTAGAAAGTCTGGTCTTTTGGCGGACATTTACTCAATTGGTTCAATTTATTTTTTACCTATATCAAACATCAACTGTGTTATTAAACATCATACTAGTCCTGAAATTTATATATAAGCATGAACCTTGACCTCAAGGATCTTATAATCAGAGAGGGAGACAGGTTATCTATAGATTCACAGATATATTCATAATTGGTATAATGTTCATGGTGTCATGATACTTGATAGTCCAGAGAGGGGACAATTATCACAATCTTTTTGGAAATGTAAAGAAAAACTTCTTGATCTTTCCTGGCAGAAATGACTCATAGCTGAGTGTTCCGGATGGGTGGAATTTAGCTTGGGTGAGAAGAGTGGATAGAGTGTTCAGGCAGAGAAAGTCAGCATGAAAAGCTTTGAGGTACAGCTCTGGCCAGGTGGCTCAGTTGGTTGGAGCGTAATCCTGTATGCCAGAAGGTTGCAGATTTAATTCCCAGTCAGGGCTCATACCTGGGTTGTGGGTTCAATCCCAGGTCAGGACAGCCAATCAATGTGCCTTTCTCACATCTCTCTCTCCCTTCCTCCCTCTCTCTAAAATCAATAAAAACACATCCTTGGGTAAAAGAAAATACAAAAAAAGAGAGAAAAGCTTTGAGGTACATTGAGGAGACTATAAGAAATTCAGTACCACTAGATAGTGAAGGTGAAGCTCTCGAGGTAAATGTAAGCTTAAGTCATAGAGATCCTGCAGTTCTTGTAAGAAAATGGTGGCTTAATGAAAAGGGTTTAGAAGGGAGTAACTCAAAGGGCAGAGACCTGTTAAGAGATGTTTACAATTCCTGGACAGGAGATGTAGAGAATATAAACCAGGCTATGCGAACAGGATCATTGAAAGAGAAAATTCAAGGTACTTTGTAGACTTAAAAATCAGCCTCGCTTGTTATGTGCTGGAATGTGTGGAATTGTCCATTTAAGGTTATTGGAAGGAAGATAAAAAGTCTAAAATAATTCCATTTTTTTGTTGTTTTGATGTCATAATGATTAATGATGTTATTAGCTAAGCTTGAGAATACAGAGGAAGAATAAATCCCCGGGGAGGGAGCATGATGAAATTAATGTTGGATGTGTTGAATCTGAGGGCCACTCAAGAGGAAATGTTCAATTGACCTTGCTGTAGGAACCTAAAATTCAGAGCATAGTTCACAGTTTGGAAATTTAAATGAATGATTCATCATAATAAATAGTAGTTAAAGCCACTCACCTGTTCACTCAAAACTACTTATTGAAGACCTGTTATATGTCAAGCTGATAGTATATCGGTACAAAATCAGATAAAAATACCCACTCTCATGACAGTTATATTCCAGAAGAGGTTATAGTCTGTGAGAATGGATGAAATCATCCAGAGTGGGAATATGTATATGAACAAGTACTGGGCTAAAAGTAGAAATCTGCAGGGCATCAATATGTAAGAGGCACCGCATAAGAAAATCCCACAGAAGTCTGGCCAAGAAGGAAGGAGAACCATAAGCGAAGAGAGTAGTAATGTTTAAATTGATAGTGGTTTCCAGATTAAGGCCAGAGAAGAATGAAGCATGGTTAGCATTATCAAAGTCAACAGTGACTTTTCTGTTTCATTGTAGTAATGTGGGCATGAGTAGATTTCCCTGGCATACAGAGTGAATGGGAGTTGCATCTACCAATAGAGTTCAAGTTACTTTTCAAGAAGCTTTGCTGAGCAATGACGAAAGAGGTATTAATTAATGTAGCACACAGCTTAAGGGGAAAGTTTTTAGCAAGAGAAGGCTTTTATCATATTGTAGTTTGTCAAAAACTAAAGACAATAGAGGTAAAGAGGTAGCTGAATAGGGACGAAAGGTGAAGGTTATAGGAGACCAAGTGCTATGAAGTTAAGTTGCAAAAGAAGTGGTCCTCATGGACTGTGAAACCTCCGTGAGTCAGAGGTCTGTTTCAGGAGTGAAAGTTGTGATGAATAGAATGGAAGGAGAAAGGTGGCATTCAGGAGCCTAAACAGGCTCCATAAGTATATGGTTTGGCTTTCACCAGAAGAGAATGTTTTTATACAATGAGTTAGAGCTGGTGTTAGTGAGCTACAGGCAAGCCGTCCTCCTTTCCATGGAGACAACTTTGGTGGAAACCAGATTTCATTCATATCATGTGGTCAACAGAGGACGTACTTGGGGAAGGAAAACAAAACTACGTGTAGAAGAGTTGTGGGGTTTTTTTACGTGTTTGGTGTCCAAAGGATAGAGTAGACAGGCTTTGGAGCGAAGTGAGTGGTTGGAGGATGCATCAACAGAATTAGAAACAGATTTAAAGGAGTATGGAGATAGACATTCAGGAGACGTCAGTTAACTGGAGTGACTTGTTTGGGGTTTTTTTGTTTTTTTAATTTCTTTATTGATTAAGGTATTACATATTTGTCCTTATCCCACCATAACCACTCCCCCCAACCTCCCCAACTCATGTCCTCACCACCCTGTTGTCTG